AAAAAAAAATACAGAACGGGAGAGACCACGAAAGATCCGGTCTTGTGAAATTGCAACAACTTCTCTTTCGAATGCTCTAGAAAAAAAGATAGAATCACGTACATATGCTCTAATTTAAACCGCGACAAAGATACGGGATCGTTATATGGGACAAAATAATATTCTGAATGAGATCTTGCTACTCGTGGACAGATGCTTGATTCTTTCAATTTGACTTTTGATGTCGAGCAAAATGCATCCTATTACACTTGCACATTGCATATTCATCACTTCATTAATATATCGCACGTTTTATCGGCATTATCGACATCTGCATTTCAAGAAAGAACAATGACGTTGCGCATTTATAATAATCGTTTTGAGATCGCTATCAATAGATTCTATTCCTTTCGAGAATGTTTTCAAAACTTCCATCTCTTTTTTTCGAGAATTATAATATTCTATTATCTCGAGCGAAAAACGTTTACCGTTAAATATTTGATATATGAAAAAAAGTTTAAAAGTGTGCGAATTTATATTTTATATAATTAATTATACGCAAATTTAACGAATAATGTGTGTTATATTCAAATGTTATCTTATGTGATATTTATGTTATATTTATATTTATATATATATTGATTATTAATATGTTAATGTTATTTTTGTATTCGATAAGATATTCATCAGAAATTCGTATCAGAATTTTAAAGTAGCGATATCATTTTTTGTCGCAGGGTCTCAACGGCCGATTAGCATTCGCTATCGCGGCAGCCGCTCTCGGTTCATCCTTCCAACATGGGTACAACACTGGTGTGGTTAACGCGCCTCAACAGGTATGACGAATTTTCGCATCAATTTAATTGTCAGACACCTTTTGCAACGTCTTACGTTAGTTATTTGCAATATCAGAGAATCCGAGACTGTTACATTTACTTATTTCTTAATATAGCGACAGTATTACGATATTTATTATTATGTCAGAGTCACGACGGAATCGTATAAAATATATGATATAACAAATAAAATATTTGTAAACCTGATGCCTGTGACGCAGAAGTGAACGAAACTATAACGAGAATAAAAAACGAAAAATGATTAATAAATGTTTCAACGTTTTTATCCAGCTTATCGAAGACTGGATCAGCCAGCTGAAGGCGAATCGTACGGGCGTGCCGACGAGTCAGTCGGAAGTGACGATGATCTGGTCTGTGGCGGTATCGATATTCTGCGTCGGCGGGATGATCGGGGGTTCCATGGTAGGCTGGGTGGCGGATCGCTTCGGTAGAAAGGGCGGTCTGCTGCTGAACAACATCCTAGTGGTGCTTACCGTGATCTTCGAGGGTAGCGCCAAGGCAGCGAAGAGCTACGAGATGATAATCTTCGGTAGATTCCTGATCGGTATAAACGCCGGGCTGAACGCCGGTTTGGCACCAATGTATCTGGCCGAGATCTCGCCTGTGCATTTACGCGGCGCCGTGGGCACGGTGTACCAGCTGGTCATCACCATCTCGATCCTAGTGTCGCAGATCCTCGGTCTGAATCAAATCCTCGGCACCGCCGACCAATGGCCGTTGCTGCTGTGCCTGACAATCGTGCCGGCAATCTTCCAGATGTGCACGTTACCGCTTTGTCCAGAGAGTCCCAAGTACCTATTACTTAGCCGTGGCAAGGACATGGACGCGCAAAGAGGTAAACGGATGAATAAAAGATTACGAATAATATGAACGTGAAGGATACAGTCTATAAAAATATAGACATAAAATAGCTGAATCTTGCTCTTTCTCACAAAGATCGTTTTTCTTTCCCCAGCGTTGGCCTGGCTACGCGGCACGATCGAAGTTCATGACGAGATGGAAGAGATGCGTACGGAGTATGAATCGGTGAAGTTGATACCGAAGGTCACCGTGCGCGAGCTGTTCGTGAATCCGGCGCTCCGCATTCCGCTCTTCATCTCTATCATGATTATGTTTGCTCAACAGCTATCTGGCATCAATGCCGTCATGTTCTTCTCGACAAAGATCTTTATGATGGCGCAGTTGGACAAAACTGCCGCGCAGAACGCCACTATGGGAGTCGGTGCGATGAATGTCTTAATGACCATGGTCTCTCTAGTGTTGGTAGAAAAGGCAGGCAGAAAAACGTTGCTCCTGGTCGGATTCAGTGGCATGTTTGTGGACACCGTTCTGCTCGCCATTTGTCTCGTATTTGCTGTAAGTATCCTTGTCTTTGATTGGGATCACGAAAGGTAGACACGAAGATATTCGAAAGAGAAAGTTGAAACTGCAATCAAATCTATTTCCGTTTTTTTTTTTTTTTTTAGGATACATCACGAGTGGCAGCATACTTTTCGATCGTGCTCGTCATCATGTTTGTCGTCTTATTCGCCACAGGACCGGGAAGTATCCCGTGGTTTTTGGTATCCGAATTGTTCAGTCAATCCGCCCGTCCGCCCGCCACCTCCATTGCCATTGCTGTGAACTGGACCGCGAACTTCATCGTCAGTATCGGCTTCTTGCCGTTACAGGAAGCGTTAGGTGCTTACGTGTTCATCATCTTCGCTGTGCTGCAATTGTTCTTCACACTCTTCATATATAAGAAGGTGCCGGAGACGAAAAACAAAACCATGGAGGAAATCAGCAGTATGTTTAGACAAATATCGTACCAATGAAGAGAATAGTAAAAGAAAATGAGAAAAAAATGTTTTCTGAAAGAACGAAATCTCTATTGGCACGAAATCTGAACGGTCAATGCGTTCTCTATCTCTATCTCTATCTCTATCGAGGAACTCGGCGGTTCGACGAAAGTGGCACATAGTTTACTCTACCTACGATCTATCAAAGCGCTTCCAACACTATGTCCAATGCGCTGTATGAAAGTTCATCGGATTGGTATTAACGTTGAACATTTACGCATAATTGCAATGTTCGTTACGATATATCTAACATAATTGAAGCGTAATCCGTACAATTATTAATTAGTGCCAATTATTGAGAGAAATCCGAAAATTTTAACTTTTTTTACTATTTAACTATTAAATTCTTTTTATTCCTAGTTATTTGATTCGGGAACTCTGTTGTGCAAAAGCTTCGAATACGAGTGAAATATTTCAAGGACAACGTCAAGTCGCGCATGCGCGCGCAAGTCCTTTCACAAGCGCGCCTGGTTTATAAGTTATAAACTTATAATCTTAGTTCCTATATATTTATATATATATATATATATGTTGCATCCACAGCGAAGAAAAGTTATCGCAAAAATGGTGAGCAATTTAAATGGCGCGAGACCAGCACAAAGAATACAATTCTTTCACCAAGTCTTTTCGACTTTTAATTTGTTTCTTACATTGGAAACAACGATATAACATACGCTACGATACGAAGAATTACAGCTCTAGTCACGAAAAGACCTCTAGATCAAGTGTGACATTAGAAGAATCTTACGTGCTGGTTGATTTTACTTTTATTTTCGAAAACGTCCGATTCATTTTATATCGATAGATTTCTATCGCTTTGCTAGACAAATTTTTTTTTATACGGAGAATAGCACGAAATAATATATCATGTTTTAAAAATATCACAATAACGAATACAATTGGGATATTTTTTATAGAATAACGGTTTTATAGCGCGTGAGAAAAGCTTGTGTTCCTACTATCAAATAATTGTATCGCATTACTATAAAGGAAATTTAAATAATCGTTGTTGAAAAAAAAAGAAGGATTAGCGTCGATTCACATTATACGACGATATAATAAAATATAGTTTCATAAGCATACTTGTACACGTATACTATAAATGTACTTGTGTGTATGTCTTTCCGCATCCTTGCAGATGCGAAGAATGTTTTGTCGCGTGTTATCGTATAATGTGAATAGACCTTATATTCGTGAGCAAAATGTATTAACTGCTTTTTTATGAAATAATTTATAACAGAAATTTGGAGAATATTTTATTACATGAACCCGAAGCGCAAGTTTTATTCGAATGAGAACGAGAATAATGTGTTAAGATACAATTGTAAATACAAAAATGTAAAGACTAGTATTGTATAGCATAGAGAAAATAATATTATATTTATGTATATGCACGTAGAGTTGATTAACGTTTAAGAAGGATATATCAATGTTATCATATATATTTTTAAAATATTTAGATTAATTTCATATATATATAAAGAAAAAAAAACATGCGATACGATACATATACTAAACGCAACTCAGGAACTGATTGTTATCTCGTAAATTGCAGATGGATATAGTGTATTTTGTTTTTACGCTATGTACACACTTCTCAAAGAATACTCATTTGTATAATTATCAATTTAGTATTAACATAATGACAGATTTTTACTATAAAATGAAAGGAAAACTAAGTTGCCTATAATAATGAACTCTAAATAAATCAATATTTGATTTTCATTTACCTTATTTGAAATTTATTATATATTCAAAAAGCGAAATTCGAAGTTTATTATATGTACGTTATCTAGCAGTCTTTTCTAGAGGCGAATACTGTGTATTTGAAGTGTAATAATCGAACGATTTGCTTGTCGCAAAACTGTAAATAATACAAACTTGTCATTTATCTTTAGCTAATTGATTGCTAATTATCGTATAAGTTTTTGCAATGCAGTTATTAGTATTTAGTTTTAGATGATTCTTTTATAAATAAATCTATCAATTTTTGTAGAAAGAGAGAGAGTGCCCCTGGTATCTGTATCGATCGAAAAAAATAACGCTGTACTCTGTAATCCATTATTTGTATGTGAAAAGATATTTGTTAGATAATTAAGATTTAATCAAAATTCAAAGAATCTCTATTAATGTGTATCTGCCTATGAAATGTATCATTAAGTGTTACACAAAATGTTTACAATGCGTTATAATTTATATGATACTCGATGCCGATAATATCGTCTAAATAAAAAGATTGGAATATTAAGAGCAAAACTATATATATATATTTATCATTTTATATTACTCGAAAATCTTTATGCATCGTATTGTCTAATAAATATAAAGAATGATATAGCTAATATGCATATTTTATTCTATAAAAATACTGAGAATATTTTACTTTTTAAAAATCATATAAAACATATTTTTTATATAGTACTAACAACAATCTCCATTTATTAAAATTTGATTTGCGAGTATACATATTTATTTAATATTGATACATATAGCTTCGAAAATGATATCTAACCGAATTAAATAAAAATATTGTTGCTCGCAACTAACATTTTCTCACCATTTACCATCGACAGTTATCTCCTCAGCTGATTAATCTACACATTTATTTCGCGACGCCAAGAAAATATAGTGATAAAACGATCGATATCGCAAAATGATCGTGGAAAGAAGTTCTCTCTCTCTCTCTCTCTCTTACAGATTTATTTTCTAAAAAATGTTTATATTTTATTAAAATTTTTTAATGAAAATTATATCTAATAAATTATATGAAAAATTGCATGTATAAGTAGATGGCGGCCTCTGACGGGAAATAATGAACTGCAACGGAGAGACGGCGCGTCGTCTCGTTGGAGTAAACACGAAGCGGAGGCGCCGCGCTCGCACACCTCGTGCGTGCTCGCGCTGGCACTCGCATTCGCGATTCGCGTTCGTCCGTAACGTCGTGAACATATTTCCCTCATAACAGGAGCAGGAGGGAAAGTAAGGGAGTGGAAAAGAGTCGGTTTTTCGCGTCAGAGGCTACGTGTCTGTTCGTATCGCGTCGCTCGAAGGTTGACGGATGACGGCGGTGTTCCGCGTTACTGTTGTCGCCGCGTACCGTACGCGCACCTTAGAGACGATTAATGTGCGCGGGGCAAGCGCGTGGTACCCTCGTGGCGGCCGCAAATGCGCGTGGTAGCCGCCGCGGCGACGGCGACGCCATCGCCGCGTCCGCGGCAAGAAGATGTCAAACGTCGGCTCGCCGTTCGAGCGACTCGTGAACGGTGAGAACAGCGTCGACGCTGCCGCCGCCGTCACCGTCACCGTCACCGGCGCTGTCAGCGGCGGCAGACGAGATAGGAGAAGTGGGGGCGAGGAGGGCCGTGTGAGCAGCTGTAGTAGTGGACGTGTGTTTGGTTCGAGGAGTTGTATTGGTTACAACGATATCAGTGGTGTTGGTAACAGTGGTGCACCCGCGGTCGTCGAGACCGCTATTATCGACGGCGCCGTCGTGACGTTGCCCGACGCCCGCGGCACGACGCCAGTGAATTCCAGTCGCGAGGCAACAGTATCGCGCATCCACGACAGTGGTTACCGCTGCTACACCTACGTTGTCGCCGACGCATCATTATCCTCGGCGACGACGCGCGTGTCTAATGACGGTGATGACGTCGTCACGACGACGGAACGCCGTGGACTCGCGCTGAGCAGCGTCGAGACGACGACGCCGTTGCTGCTTCACGGTGCCGGTAGCACCGACGCGAGGATAGTCAGTATCAGCAACAGCAGCAGCGCCACAAATACCGCCGCCGTCGTTATCGTTGACGCCGCGCCGCCGTTATTTCACGACGACGACGACGACGAAGACGACGACGACGACGACGACGACGACGACGAGGACGACGAGAATCATCGCCACTATCACAATCGCGGCAACAACATGGTCGCGGCGATGAACGAGCACCTGTCCAGCGCGACGACGACGACGACGACGTCGTCGTCGCCGGCGGCGGCCAACGCCGTTCGCAATACCATCGCAATGTCGTCGTCATCGTCCTCGGCGTCGTCGGCTATGATGACGGCAAGCAGCAACGCGATCGCCAGCGGCAACAATAATCATCCTCCGACAATGATGATGAGCAACGTCGGGCTCGGTGCCAATAACGGCAACAATTGCAACAACGCGCGCGGCCAGGAGTTCCAGGAGGTTGACTGCGACGACGTCAAGCCCGTCATCAACAGCAGCAGCGCCGCAGCCGCCGCTGCCGCCGCCGCCGGCATCCTCAGCTTCCCCTGCGACTTCGATCATATGTACGCCAGCATGACCGACGGCGGGGCACCGGCCGCGGCCGCGGCCCTCGGCGTCAGCCCCCTTCGCGGCAACGAGCCCCGTCAGAACGATCTCACCGAGGTCAAGCACCTGAAGGAGCTGTTGCTGCTGCATCTCGATCTCATCCAGCAACAATCCGAGCAGATAGTCACCAAGGATAAGCTCCTCGCCGCGCTGCGCCAGGAAAACGAGACGGTACATGACACGTGGAGGATGGTTTTATTTTATTTTTTTTTTTTCCCAGTGTTTTTTAATACCCGCTTCTCCCTCCCCCATGAGAAATCGATGAATCCAAGGGAGATGTAAAATAGTGAATTGATGATTCTCGGAAAAATTGAAAAGTTCTCTTTTTTTACTTGTATACACATCGTGCTTTTCGGTGATCAGTCACATGGCTGTGATGACATTTGATGATATATATAGATGGAGAAAATAGAGAGATAGAAAAATGTTTAAATCTGTGATATATGATTTAAACTTTTATACTCGTAGAATGAAACTATAATTACGTCGATCCCTTTCATTTTGTCTCTTAATGTCGTTTGTTATCGTAATTTGCAAAGTCGACAGGTAGGGTGGATGATCTATTTTAATGCGAAAAACTTGTTTTGAGACAGGTGTGATTGTCGTTTGAATCTAACAATAAGTCACTGTGTATTCTGGCGATCGAGAGATGCGGTAAAACGAGGTGAAGTGAATGGCAGTGAGTCATCGAGCGACTTTTTCAATTTAAAACCCGACTCGTGTCCTCCAATCCCATTCACTCGTCGGTGTCCGATTTTCGTGCGAGCATCGCGATAATTGTATCGTGTGTACTTTAAAGAGAGACTTTAGACACGGATAAAATTTAATGTTAAAAGATTGCGTGACATAAGTCTTTAATTTAGAAAATATTTGTTTACCGTCTATTATCTTGCGTTTGTTAGTAAAAATTATATAAGTTTCTTGAGATGTAAGAGACGGTTTAATCCCCGAAAGCGTAATAATTTAACTAGAAAATGTCAAAGAGGAAAACTTGAAATTCGGCGATTGTTTTAAAATGTACATCACAACGCTCGTGCAGCCGTCACTTCATTTCAAAATAATACTATCCAAATCCACACTTTCGAACACACTCCGCATCCAAACTCGCGCCATAGAAAGCCCTCTATCATGATCTCGCGCGTGAATCGAGAGAGAGAGAGAGAGAGAGAGAGAGAGAAGATTGCGGGACGTAAACGTCACACGCGGATCGAGTCTTCGTAGCCTGTTCTCGGTTCTCGTCTTCGCGGTCGTCATCGCCGATATCGATCGTAACGAGGAGGCTTCGAACGCGCCGCCTCGACGTGAGAGAAACGGGCGCGCGGGTCTTGCTCGTCAATCTCGCTCCCTTCTTTTTTTCCACCGGCGCGATTTGCCTCTGGCACCATTTTGTAAAAACATGCCGCGCACACATGCTCGCGAGTGTCAATCTCCCTCTCTCTAGGCCGTCCTAACCTAAACACAGAGCGCGCGCGGGGAACAGGTTGACCGTGAAGGTCAACTGCGCGGTGTCAACACATGGTGGCGCTACTTCCGCATTGGAACCGCACGGAGAGAGAGAGAGAGAGAGAGAAAAAAAGAGGAGAAAGAAACTTAGAGACGTTTCATTCGCGGGGAACAACGTTTTCGATGCTTGATGGTGTTCGACATGTTTGAAAATGACAGTTAGACAGTTAGGGAGGAGAGACGCAATTACATGCCGCGCGACGATACAAATGATAACGTGCTCGAATACCGATACGTAGATCGGTCTCGCTTCTCGAGATCGAACCGGGTAGAGTAGATAGTGTTTCGTGTTTCATTGACGGCGCGAATGACAGAGCGCGGGTCCGTCGAGTTAACCTGTCTGTGTTCCTGTTCCTATTGCGAGGGAGAAAGAGTAACGAGACACGAAACAGTTCGCGAAACAATTTAACATGATTTGCGAAGAGAGGAAGATTGTGTACAGACGGTACACGAGGAGTGTAAATAGCATTTAAATATCTATATGCGTAGACGCGTTTTAAATATCATGACAATTATGGAACGTCGTTTCGGTTGTCTGTTGCAGTTAAAACTACGCCTGGAGCGTATGGAGAGGCGTGTGAGTCTTCAGAAACTGAGATCTGAATTTGGTGAGAATTCGACGAGTTCGGAACACTTGGGTACTTGTTCGCCTACCAGTGTCAATTCTGTAAACGTACCGTCGACGAGCGAGTTGCACAGAAACGTTCAATGCGAGGGTGGCAATACTTTGCATGAGAGCTTTAAGATACGTCTAAACACTAGCGGCGGTATCACTACTGTCAAGCAGGAGCCACTCGATAATCAAATTAAGCTTGAAGTGAAGCAAGAGCCTAACGAGTCTAGGTTTGAATGGGAAGAGAAGAAGAAGAGACGATCGGATCCAACCCCAGTGTCTACGGGTAGTAAGAAGAAGAGGGGGCTTTCCTGCTCGTCGAATGTTAGTACTGACGGTATACAGGATAAGGTATTAGGTCAGACTTTACACGAGATCAATAGGAAGAGCGATAGGAAAGCAAAATCTCTCGTGAAGAAAGAGTCCTTTCTCACAACGGAAGAACACTATTATACAGCCGTAGGGGATTCAAATTATACATTAAGTCTGAAACAGTCCAGTCCAGTAGAAACAAGTAGTTCTCTTGAAATTCCAAATTGGAGAGTGAAGGTATACACAAGTTGTTATACGATGGAGGGAACCGAGAACTTAGACGATGAGATTTTTAACAAGAGACATTTGAAATTGGAGAATGACGAGAGGAGAAGGAAGCGATGGGATGTGCAGAGGATAAGGTTTGTAAATCTTTACTCGATATATATCATCTCTATGGAATATCACAATTTGATTTATATCTTAATTTTATCACAATTATCAGGGAACAAAGGCATATAGAGAAATTAAAACAAAGGCAAGAACGCCAAAATCATCAAGCTACGTGCTATAATACTAATCATACTGGTCCTTGTCCCTCGTCCATGGAGGAGGAAACTGTTACGTCCTTGTGGCCTGATGTAGAACAAATTCAAAGTCTCCAAGTGGATCCACACTTGCCAGTAACTGCATTTGGCTCTCTTATTCCTAGTTTTACTCCAAAGTAAGGAAATGAGTTTCTTGAATGTACACATTTTGCAAGTAAATTTTTATGTATTTATATATATATAAGTATATTAAATAATTGTGATATAATTATTATTTTCTTTTCAGTGAATTTTCATTACCTTGGTCGAATATAGCACGAATAAAGTGTCGTCGTCCTAAACGTTCAACAAGTAGAAGAAAATCTACAGGTAGGAGAAAAATTTAGGGAATATAAATTTTTATAAAAATGGACAGAACTGATTTTATCTGCTGGTTTTAAACTCTTGAAGAATATTGTTCCCTCTCTCACGCCATATTTGAAACAGCGTTTCTCATTTCTATGCAGATAATGTAGGAGCCTTCTTCCTCCTCCTTCCCAAAGATATTTTTATTGACTTTTTAAACATCTGCAATATAATATACATAGTTTATTTTTTCTACATTTTTGTCAGTTAAGTAAATTAATTGTCAATACTTCTTTGATACATCTATTCTACATTTTGATGTACACACACTTGCGGTGTTGGTCATTTTATTTATGTAACTGAGTATATCACACAACACATGACGAAACGATGTATCAGTTTGTACTGACATGTCGGAAAATTTTCAGCTCTAAACTAGATTTCCGTTCCATTTCAGTGGATTGACAATATTGATATTAGCAAAAGTTTTTGACACATATGTAAAACAATTTATATTAATTTTGTAATTAAGTTTTTTTTTTGCTATTATAATATAATTGTAAAAATCTTAACAAAACTACCATGTACACATTAATGACATACACTTTGTAAAAATATGTTGTAAGGCAATGTTACGTAACGGAAGAATATAATCAGTTTTTAAATCTTGGGTAGCCCCGTTTTTTTTACATTTTATAAATTCTATATAATTTCACTTAATATCGAAAAATATTGAATACTCATAAAAAGTTAGATATCCTTGCAAATAGATCGCGATTTTGTTAACTCTCAAATTTTATAATACAAATATATTTATTACACAGAGCTTCCTCTCATAATCAGTGACAGATTCTCTGACATTTAATGTCTCCTTCAGGAAAGTTTGAAGGCCTAATTATAGAAATAATATTTAACTTTCATGGACTTTTTGCTGAAGAAAGATTCATGTTGAGAAAATCTGTAACTAAAAGAAACTGAATGCCTTTTGATATAATTTATATATTGTGAATCTTTGGTTTTAAGCTGTTGTAAGCGACCTCAGTCAATAGCATATGCTATTTTTGCTCCCACACACATGTACTCTTGAAGTGTATTGTGATCCGAGAAGTAGGCGGGGAGAAACTCTGGATATTTGTAAAAAATTGTAAACAATTGTAGTCATTAATACCAACTAATGATCAGTTTTAGCGACTCGAGGTTCTTTTATGCGTTTTGTAGCACAATCAGTTAAGCTTGAAATTTAATATGCTACCTTTGTGCGAATTATATTTGATAAATAAGATATATATGTCCACAGAAAGAATCATTATATTAGTATTTTATAATTCTGTAAAAGATATAATTTTATAGCTCTGTCCCAATTACTTCAATATTGCGGAGAATTACCGAATATTCTGACAATAGCTCCCTAGAGAGATTTTGATAGTTCGATTTGTGATAATTCCGATTTAATTTGCGTTACATAGAAAAACTGTGGTATTACGAATATAAGGGATTGCAAATGAGATAATTTGAGCAGATAACAACATTATTTTCGCATATATATATTTCCATCTGCTGTATAATTTTAAGATGTCGTTTGACTCGCATTACTGAATGAACGAAAAAAGAAAATTGTATATAGCTACAGTGATAGTTCTTTTTTACGTTCTATTTTTAAGGGGTATATATATATTTTCTAAAATAGGGGTATATATATATTTTCTAAAATATATATACCTTTATATATATATATATATATATATATATATATATATATTTCATTTGGCTATGTTCGACTT